CCAGTTAAAACCTTTGTAGTTTATGGTAATCTAAATTGAATTACAAGATAATTTAGGACGTATATGATTTGAAGCAGTGAAGAAACATGACCATGTTGAAGACCATGAAAAAACTTGAGCAACGGGATCAAAATTTCTGTTATTCAAGAATTAGTTGAGATAATTGCAGTTTGTGTTAGCGCGTTTCTTTTTCGGTTTAGATCATAAATTACTGAAGAATGTTTAGTGACATAATAACTTAACCACTTTTTTTTAAAAAAATCTTAACTACTTTATTAAAAGAAAAAGAAAAAAGACATAATAACTTAACTTGAGGGGAAACTAAATCCCTTGGAGGTTTCTCCATCACGCCTGACTTAAGCAAAAATGTCTCTTTGTATTTAAATCTTACACAGTTACACTTCCCATCGGACTTTCTAAATATTTCTAAATATCATTAAAAAAATTACTAGTTAGGTCATAAATATATATCCCATATTTTATTTGCAATGCATAGTCGCTTGCAAATTTCAATTCCAGATTTTTGAATTCCCATGGCTATATGCAAATTTTAACCAGTAGAGGTTGGAAAGAATAACAATTGGTAAAAAGAAGAAAGATAGGAAAAATTGAACTCAAGCAGTGTAATCAGGTTGAGAGGAAGGACAACATAACACATAAAAGGTCTAGTGGTTACGGAATGAAAAGCAAAAATGGGCCGTTAAAGCCCAAATAAGTTCATTTAGTGACTGATGTTAGTTGGTATGTTAAAAAAATTGCACCAGCCGGGAATTGAACCCGGGTCTGTACCGTGGCAGGGTACTATTCTACCACTAAACCACTGGTGCTTCGATGTGTGGATTTGTCCAAAGCTTATAGTTAAACAGTTCTTTTCACACTAATTGATACATCTTGATCTCAATTTTCTTTTGTTTTATTTGCTCGAAGGATGACAGTATGACACACTCTATCACATTTAATTCACATTTAACTCTATCATAAGAGAACATAATTTTGTATGTCACGCGGTTCCATCAGAACAATCACCTCAGACAAAATTAAAGAGATTCTTGCGTTGGAATGAACCGGTGAGAAGACATAACTAAAAACATGTGATTTTGAGATAGAGACAGAAGTCAATGTGATTGGACAGTTAACAAAACCTACAAGTTTTACAGTTTTAGCCAAATAATCTCTAGGATTGCTCAAATAAATTCCTCACCATTACTAGAATTTAGAACCAAATCTATTTAAGACAGTGGTATGGGTGTGAATATAATTGCAACGAAAGGTGATTATTGTAAGAAACACTAAAAACTTGGGGGCAAAGTTGTAAGAAGAAGAATAATATTAGGGTGCATGATGGAAAATCTCTTACCTTTCACATCACTCAAACACAAATAAACTCACTGTAATTATTATTCATAGAAAAGGGAAGAATTGAAGGGAACGTAGAGATTAGAGTGGAAAGTGATCGATTCTAAAAAGGGAAAGGTGATGATGGATTGTATATATTAAATTAAAATTGTTGGGGAAGATGGAAAATGTCAGATTAAATTTGTTCATGGGGAAACCACAAACATCCCAAATGTATTGACCAAACATTCCGTTTTCTTGTTTCCTTTTCACATCACTTGTTTTCTAATTTTCTAATCGTGTCTCCTACACTCTTGGCTCTTGATCTGTCTGTACTCTCTTCATTCATTCATGTTTAGTATACATATAGTTGATGTGGTATTGAATTTCATAACCAAAAAAGCAGTGTATATAATCACATGCCATGAAATTGAATACTGTTCAAATTTAATCCTTTTTGTATATACGAAAGAGACATTATTATTTGCAGGAACAAATCCCTATATATGCATATAAGTATAACTAGGGATGAAGTCTTTTTTTGAACTAGCATATCCACACACTCACACGTGTGTATATTGAAAAAGAAGTTAATTTTTATATAAAAAAAATTAATAGTAACATTTTGTTGGTCGATATATATTAGTGGTAGAATTTGACTGAGGCATATTTAGATATTATTAGTCTGACATTTGATTTACAAACTTTATTTTTTTTTAAGGCACAAGAATTTCATCAAACTCATATTCACAACTCTCCATGTCCCAAAGGTTCTTCAGGCCTTCCGCTATAAACTGAATATATATATGTAGAATCATTTAAGACATTTTCTGCAACAATAATAAGGAAATTTTTTTCCAGAGTTTAACTCACACACACACATACCATTAAGTGCTTTCATGACATGCATGAGAATTGCTAGATATGTGTAATTATACATAAAGCTAAGTATTAGATGTGATGGTGAGTGTAAAAGATGAAAACATTAACTATTCATGAGTCAATTGATCATCATCCATCTTTATATGTTTCATAGTACCACTTTGTCGCATGCGTGTGTGTCTCATCAACCCATCTCTATAATAATGCAATCTTTATCACTTTTTGTCTTTCTTAATACTCACATACACATGCAACCCACTTTCTCTAATCTTTTCTAGCTTCTATAATGCACAGAGTTCTACTATACAGTTTCATATTTTACATAAGACATACGGGAGGATTGAAACTGACAAATTTATTACCAATAATAACAATAAAGTTTAAAATACAAACATATATCGTTGTTTTGTATTAAAATATCTTTCACTGATTGGAAAAAACTAGGAAAATAACAAATGTAACTCAATTTTAAGATTAAATTGAGCAACTTATTAAGAGATGTAAACACTATTGGTAAAATCATATGGAGATTTTTTATGAAAAGGTACAAAACGTATAAATGGAGGCTTTTTATCAACTTTAACTTCTTTTTGACTTCCATTAACTTTAAGTCTAATACTATTTAATACCATTAGCCTGAATGCAATCACAATCTCTTGTCACTGCTCAGCTATACATGATATGATATACTAATAAGAGTTTGAAACCCATAAAATTACTAGTCAGATGAATTTAGAGGTAGCCTAGTCGAAGCTCCAAATCAAGAACTTGTTTGGGATTCCTCAAACTCATCCCAAGCTCCAACCCCATGACTTGATCATCTTTCTTATTCATCAGATCCCCACGGCTTATCTCACATCTTACTGAATGACATGCATCGATGGCACTCTTCTTGATCTCTCTGCTACATACATTGCTCTTGTTCATCTCTCTGTCCACCATCAAACCTCCATAGCTAGTAGTACTGTCCAAAAGATCAAACCGGGCAGAAGGAAAAAGAGTTGTTTTGGATCTCTGGTTGGTTAAGGAAGGCTCAAGGTGAGCTGGTGTTGTTAATGAGGAAGAAGAAGAGCTAAAATTAGGGTTAGGGTTTGCAATAGGTATGTGGTGGTGAGGTTCGAAGAGCCAAGAAGGGATCTGTCTGAGCTTTGCTCTGTCTCTTCTATGGACATTCATATGGCCTCCAAGGGCTTGAGCAGATCTAAACTCTCTCCTGCAGAAGCTGCAAGTGTAGTTCTTGGGAGGCCATGGGATCAGCCCAGCTTCGTAATTCTTGTAGTGATTCATGATGACTCTGTTGTCACCAATATTAGTGTCTTCTTCTTCTTCTTGGGTTTTGTTTCTGTTGCTGAAACTTGCCAAATGTGTCCTCTTCATGTTCTCCAACAGATGATGATGATAGTATGATAGTCCCCTGCATGATATAAACAAAGATGTTATGTATATATATATATATATAATGTATATATTAATTCAAAAGTGAGAAAGAACAAGAGTGGAGGATGATGAAAAACCGTAGATAAATGTATAGATAGAGATTTTTGAGTTTGATGAGGATCTAAGGAAGAATATAGCTACGGAGGAGTTACAGTGTGTTATATAGAGTCAAAGGGAAACAAAAACAGAAGGTGGTTTTATCCTTACTTGAGGAAGGAGGTGCATGTACGGATGATCATTTATTAGGGTTTAAGTCTGTTACATGTTTGGTCAGATATATTGGAGAATAATGAGTATAGGCTAGGCTATGTTCGATTAGATTTCATGAGTGGAAATAATTTTTTTGAAAAAAGAAAAAGAGAAAGAAAGAGACAAAGAGGTAGTTTCATGATTAAGAGGGAGAGAGAGGAATTGAATAGAGGCTAGTTACTCATGATGCTCATGCCTGCAATGTGTCTGCTTATTACTATAATTGGAAGTTACTTGAGACCAATGTTATTGTGGTATGGGAACTCTGTGTTGCATTAATATTTTGTGTCAAAATCTTGCAGGGAGACTTGCCATTTCATTTTCATCATATTCCATCTTGGCTCCACAAATCTCTTCATTATATTTGCACATACATATACACACACACAAGATTATATTTTTAATTTTCTGGTATGGGGAGATTGGTATGATCATATTATCAAAGATTGTAGTGAATAGTGATGGACGGCCAAAACTATGAATTGATTTTGACATTGATTAGAAACTTTAAAGGAAAGAAAACAAGGCTTGTGTATGCATTAAGAACATAGACAATGACGTCCTGATGTCCTTAGAGTTATTGCAGCTTATATCTATAATTAAGAAAACATACAATTTACTTTGAACTAAGTACATAATTAACCAGTAATCATATGCCAAATCTAGAAAAGTGTTAGCAAAATTGGCGGATATAAAATTATAACCCTATCAGCTTATCAAATTTATGGGTTGAGGAACTCAATTTCTATTGTCAATGACATGATCCAATATATGGATCTCTGAATCCCTTATATATACTGTATATTGTGTGACAAATTTTAGCTTAGCATATGATTTTTATTATCATTAATTCCTTTATCAAGCATTATAGTTTTCTCAATTGACCAAAATCTAAGAATTAAAAAAAGGAAAAAAATCTCTATCTGTTTAATGCATATCTATTGAATTTGGAAATTTTAGAAGTTGTTAACATTTTATTTTTGGAAAAATCATAAAAGACCCACTCCCCTCAATAAAAGATGAAACGCTGCGTTTCATCAATCAAAATCGTCGCTCTTTTTCGCTGTGTAAACTTTGCCTTGTTCTTCATCGCGATAGCTCTTGTGTCTGTCTTCTTCGTCTCCATCCGAAGCTCTCTTCATCAATCCAAACCGAAAAAAGTATGAACTTTCTCTGAATTTCTTCTCAATTTTATGGATTTATATAAGTCAGACTCATGTTAGGGTTTTGTTCGATTTCAACAATTTAGGGTTGAGATTTGATTGTTTGTATGGTTTGATTTAGGATTGGATTGATTTTTTTTATTTTATTTTTTTTGCTTTGTTTGTGTTCGTGAATTCTGCTGAATACTTTCCATGAACTGATCAGTTTTGGTTTGTTGATGAATAGCCAGAGATCGGAGGAAGGAGAGAGAGAGACCAATCGCTGGTTGTTTTCTAATCTCTATCACAGTTATAGTTTCTTTGGTTTTGAGGTAATGTGTTTGTTTCCTTCCTCATGAGAATCAGAATTTTTAGGTATTTTGTGGTTAAGATTTTAGTTGATTTTTGAATGTTTTGATCAGGGTTTAGAGGAGATGTCAAACCACCCGAAGATCACATGTGTATCTTCGGCGCATCAGAATGTGGAGGAGAAGCTAAGGGAACTTCAGGAGAGGTTCTGTCATCTTCAGGCTGCTAGGAAAGAAGGGCGCCATGGTGACCTTGCACTTTTGGAAGCCCAAATCTCTCAGAATATTCGTGAGTGGCAAGCTGAACTCACTGCTCCTTCTCCTGAATCTTCTCTTCTGGTTCGTACTCCATTACCATACTTCTCCCTGGTTTATGGGTTTCAATTCTTTGAAAAAATAGTGAATGCTTGGTTGCTTTCTGTATGTGACGAGAGAGTAGCCTCGTTTGGTGAGGATTTTGCAGTTTTTTTATTTATTCGTGAGTTGAGATTTAGCTCTTTTGGTCTTTAACATGTTGCAGGGTGAAGGTATTAGCCAATTCCTTGAGGAGTTTGCTCCTCTGTTGAAATTAGACGAGGAGGATGATGCAACTAGTACGCTAAAGGAACACGCTGCACCAAAGCCTCAGCCTGACGGTTTCGCTCAAAGCTTGTGCCCTCCTGAATGGACATCTGAGAATTTTAGTCAAAGTCCTTTCAATGGAAATTTCTCCTGCGGCATTGAGGTGAGCTAGCGACAGTTTCTACATCAAATTAATCTGTCCAAGTTGTCTTCTATAATCTTTTTCCTAAGTCTAGTTAGCATTATTGTCTTTTGGTTTTGGATCGTTGGTTAGATGTTCCTAGACATTTGCAACACCAATGATTCTATATTTCAATTCATCTATGAGTTTTGATCTTTTTCATTCTTGTCTTAGTTTTGAATTTGTTTCCTTTTCACCTTTTCTATCTCAGGATGCTCTTAATAGCACAGAAACACATGGCCAGCAACTCCATTATGCATTTGAAGGGTTTGATCCAAGCGTAAACACCGCTCCTGATTTCCATGACCAAAAACTCAACAGCAACCTGGATATAACTTCTCAGTATGATTCTATTTTCTCCGAAGTGCGTCAGGAACTCTATAACAGCCCTTCCATTAAGCTTGATTCTTCTGAAGAGATTGACAACTTTGCTGAATTTACTACTCCATCAAGTGTCCGAGTGCCTCCATCTGCTTTTCTAGGACCTAAGTGTGCACTATGGGATTGCACAAGGCCTGCTCAGGGATCTGAGTGGTACCTGGATTACTGCAGTAACTACCATGGGACTCTAGCTCTGAATGAAGATTCACCTGGCACAGCACCTGTCTTAAGGCCGGGGGGCATCAGTTTGAAAGATAATCTATTGATTGATGCTCTTCGTGCAAAGACTCAGGGTAAGAATGTTGGCATCCCAGTGTGTGAAGGAGCTGTTAACACAAAATGCCCATGGAACGCAGCAGGTGATTGCATTGTCCCACTAGAGCCGAGTTTTACTTCTCTCTTTGTTTTAGTTCAACATTTCATTACCTCTTTGCAAACAGAAGCCATATGTGAGTTTCTTATTTTTGGCTGACCCTTAATTCTTTGTACTTGCAGAGCTATTTCATCTTGAACTGGTTGAAGGCGAAACGATCAGAGAGTGGCTCTTCTTTGACAAACCTAGAAGAGCATATGATAGTGGAAACCGAAAGCAAAGATCACTTCCAGATTACAGTGGACGAGGTTGGCATGAATCAAGAAAAGTACCGATGAAGGAACAAGAAGGCCAGAAGAGATCATACTATATGGATCCACAACCTCCAGGTCCCTTTGAGTGGCATCTCTTTGAATACCAAATCAATGAATCTGACGCATGTGCGTTATATCGGCTAGAACTTAAAGTAGGAAATGGAAAGAAGAGTCCTAAGGGAAAGATTTCAAAAGACCCTCTAGCTGATCTGCAGAAGAAGATGGGACAGTTTAAAGTGGCGTCAGACAAACCCTCTCCTCCAACCAAAGGTCGTAAGGAGTGAAGTTAGCTATTGGCAATCTAACTCAAGACTCCTGCAACAATAGCTCCAAGTTGTCTCCAGCATTCTACAAAAGAGCCATCGTCATCTCTGTTTTTTTTCTTTCTGACTGTATTATGACGAGATAGGATCATCTTTGATGTGTTGTGTTAATATGGACAAGTCTGGTCTTTGCCCTTTTTCTTGATAGAATCTGAGATGGGTTTTGTAAATTTTTGCATTTTATTTTTCTGCTCTAAAACCATAAGGATTTAATTAACGAAGTTGTGTATTCATATTTCAAACGTTTTCTCCTTGATCTATAAGTGTGTTACCCTTAGAAATCTTCAATGGTCTCTGATTATGTAATTGACCTATAAAAGGGGAATAGAGACAGACGTCCCCTCCTCTTAAACCCTAAATGCAAGCAAAATCAATAGAGAGCTTGTTTTATCTTGATGCAGAAGCCTCGTTTGATGAGATTTTATATATATATATATATATATCTTGATTTTTGGGTGGAGATTTAGCTCTTTTGGTCTTTAACATGTGCCAGTTCCTTGAGGAGTTTGCTCCTCTGTTGAAATTAGACGAGGAGGATGATGCAACTAGTTCGTTATAGGAACATGCTGCACCATAGCCTGAGCCTGAGAGTTTTGCTCAAAGCTTGTGCCCTCCTGAATGGACATCTGAGAATTTTAGTCAAAGTGCATTCAACGGAAATTTCTCCTGCGGCTTTGAGGTGAGCTAGCTACAGTTTCTGCGTCAAATTTATTTGTCCAAGTTGTCTTCTATAATCTTTTGCGGCCTTAGTCCATTTAGCATTATTGTCTCTTGGTTTTGGATTGTTGGTTAGATGTTCGTAGAAATTTGAAACACCATTGATTCTTTATTCCAATTCATCTATGAGTTTTGATCTTGTTTCCTTATGTACAAGTTCACCTTTTCTATCTCAGGATGCTCTTAATAACACATAAACACATGGCCAGCAACTCCATTATGCATTAGAAAGGTTTGATCCAAGTATAAACATAGCTAGGGCACAAGCATAAACACAGCTAAGACACAAGCAAATTCAGCACAAGTGCATAATGTGTATCATATCTAGAGACACTTGGAGGTCTCCAATGGCATCAGCGTTGATCGAAGCTATCCTAGAATGTTAGTGATCTCGGGCTTGATAGTTTTAACAACATCTCCGATGCACTCTAACTTTCGAGAAGTGTTACATTTTAGGTGTTTGTGAGCACATCCAACAGCTTTAGAAGCACTTCTTGGCTCACCGAAAGTTGTGGGATATAAACCTGAAACTAGATGTCATGGTTCAATATATGTTTATTGTCATGTTAAATGTTAACAAGATATTAAGATATTCACCTTAGAGCAGAGCCATGATATTGTAGAGGCATCGTTGCTAGCCCAATTGAAACTTTCCTCATATCCTAGGTGTTTGTTTTGAAAGCAAGCTTTCTACACTCTTCCTGAGATGATCAATTACATGAAGGAGAATCATGGTGTAGGACAAACCACTGTGACAAAGGTTTTCAGGGAACTGTTAAAAGGTAGATAAGCTGAAGCATATTTCAGAGAATCACATAAAAGAATGAAGACAAGAACAACAACAACTTGAACATAAGAGGATGATGAGGCTTAGGTTAGTATAATTTGACATTCTTTGGTTTGGTTACTGCTGGTTAGTAAGAAATAGACTTGTATTGTCACATTGTCATCTCTGCCATCTCATACGGTTCTAATGTAGTGACTAAGACGTTGATTGGGCGAGCTTTGTACATATTAGTGATGTATAACTAATAACTTGATGGCTTTGAGCAATGACATATCATCATTTATTAATGATTTTTTTGTAATTTTATTATTAAAATTGTATATTAGTTACTCTATTAATTGAAAAATAAGTATCAAAATAATGGAGTTTAGAAAGGCTTTACTAAAATTATGGATTGTCGAAACTATCATATACTATAATAGAATAGCTTAAACGCAAATATATTGTTATTCTCTAATCATAATTGACATTTTTTCTTATAGTTTTCATCATTGTTTCATTCTCTCAAGTCTCAACTAAAAGTGAAGACAATTAGTTTATTTTAAAAAATTTGCTAAGAAATGGTTCAAATATAGCTAACAAATGAATACAATTAAATCATAGGGTTTCGGTGATACTGGTTTTTGTTATTCAAATAAAACATCCAAATTTTATGGATATCAAAATAATCATAATATTTTATCAAATCATAGGGTCTCGGTGATACTGGTTTTACGCTCATTCATGAATCATGATCGATCCATAACATATTCCCCATCTCTCATTTTTAAACACCAACTTTCGCTCTTTTAGGGAAAATTAAATTATTCTACTTACCAAAAAACACTTTTTATAATCTTTGATGAATTAATACCCTGTCTTATTTAATTTTTCTGTATTGTTTTGCCAAATCAATCAATACTATAAAACTAAAATTAAGTATTTTACGTGTTCATATCTTAAAAAAAACTCTAATAGTAGTTTAGCAATCTCTTGTCGGAGTGGAGTTTAGCTATTATTGAATGAAACTTGAAACCAATAGAAAGTCACTTAATGGTCTCTGATTATAAAATTGGGCTTTACTGGGCCGTTAATAAATTGGGCTATAAAAAGGGAGACACCAGACTACCAGAGCATCTTGTTCTCTTAAACCCTAAAATACAAGCAAATTAAGAACAGAGAGTAATGGCAACAAATTCTGAAAGCTCGTTTAAAGCAGAGAAATCAGATGGGGACTGTGTTACTACTACTACGAAACCACAAGTAATTCAAAATCTGGCTGATGATTTATGTATTAGATTTTACATATTTGTAATTCTCACTGATTCATTCATTCATACATTTTTTGTCGTATTATCAGCACCAAAGTAGTCGGATTTTGAGCAAGGAAGAGGAGAAAGTAAGAGATAGCTACTTGTTATGCTGTGAGAATTTCTACACTCTTCCTGAGATGATCAAGTACATGAAGGAGAATCATGGTGTAGGACAAACCACTGTGACAAAGGTTTTCAGAGAACTTTTAAAAGGTAGAAAAGCTGAAGCATATCTCAGAGAATCACAGAAAAGAATGAAGACAAGAACAACAACTACTTGAACATAGGAGGATGAGGAGTCGTAAATTAGTAGAAATTGAAAATCTTTGGTTTGGTTAGTAAAAAATAGACTTGTCACTGTCATCATCTTGGCACTTAATTCCAATTTAATATCTTTCTTTGCTTGGAGTTTGATTTGTGTAATATATGTATGGATTCATTTTTTCATATTTTGAGGTCCATTATTGTAGGTATATGGACCAGACTAGGAAAAACGAATAGCAAACAGTCTTGTTGGTCTATTCTTGTCTAAGTGCATGATTAGATGGAAAACTAGAAGAAGATACTAAAAGTTGACTAAGTTAATGATTTAGGTGCTAACTGGTAAGGGTGGCTCTGTGTGTTATGACTCGTGGGATCTAATGTGTTGTGATATAATGTGTTGTGAAAACTCACTTGTGAGTCTAGAAAAGGAGGTATACAAGAAGATAAACAAGTCAACTTAACTACAAAATCATAACGTCTCACAACTGTTTTGTGTTGTAGAAGTTGGTTGCTTTTTGGAGTGGATTCATTCTTCATAACTAGCTAACCGCAAATAACCGTGACTTGAAGTCTTTCGAATTACACTTCTTTCACTTTTGGTTCAAACTCGGTTGTACCTGATTCAGCTCTTCTTTCAGCATCAATTCTGTTTTTGTGGGGAAAAAATTAACATGGAACATTGCCCTTGTGGTTCATCTCTGCACCATGTTCAATAATGATGTAAAAAATTCTGGAAGAGCAAGAGATAGCTGATTATGCAGACACATGAGGAAGTTTTGAGTCATTGGAAGGAGACCTTTAGGCACTAAGATTATCCAAATTGTTAGAAAAGTATAGTTTCAGGCTTAGAATTCTTTAATCTAGAATATATATGATTTACATAATTCGTAGATAATCCCAATCAATACATTCCAGTATCGCACTCATGTCTTGAATAGATTCAACGCACAACATGTTCTGTTTTGTCTCCTCTATTTGTTGAAACTTTCTTCTGCTCAAGTTGTTATGCCTTGTCCAGCCATTACTTCATTTCAAAATGGTGTTGATGGTCTCATCCTTGAAGGCTTGGATGTTACTCAACCTTTTGCTTCGAACAAGAGGTGATGGGATTCCGCAACACAATTAAAGAACGTTTGAGTAAGAGGTTTGATTCACATTGAACCTGAACGGTAGAATTTTTTTTCTTATAGTCAATACTGAATACTGAATAGTATCAAATGAAAAATTCATATGGCCAAAGCCCAACATATTCTCAAAGCCCATAGAATCAAATATCTGCCCACTTTGATCTTAACTTAAAAACTTAAAAAGCTGAATCGTACAAGAAAATCCCAAAGGTGACTTCTGGTCGGAATATTCTACTCGAACCTTAAAACGACGTCGGTTTTACCAAATGCGAGTCAACGGATGCTGCTGCAATGCGTCGTGTTGTGTTCGTTACTCGCCATCGTCGTCGTCTCCGTCGCTTCGATCTCTCCCCTCGGTGTTCACCCTTTAGGTTACTTGTTCAATGACTCTTATCTGTATATCGACAAATCTGAAATATGTTGTTGGTGTTTTGTTCTCTGATTCTTACTTACTTCTTTGTTGTTGTGAGGCAGATGAAAAGTATTTCGACTCAGATATTATCAAATGCAAAGATGGCTCCAAATCTTTCTCTAAAGATCGTCTCAACGACAACTTCTGCGATTGTCTCGATGGCACCGATGAGCCTGGTACTCACCTTTTTCTCAACCCCTCTAATTTTAGATTCCAGAGAGCTCAGATAAGACTTTAAATTCTTGCCCAGATAAAGATTTTTGAGTAGAATTGATCGAATCGTTTTCTATTTAACGACTTCAATTTTGAAAAAAATGTGTTTTTTGAGATGCAAAATTAGCAAGTTTCTAAATTTCTTCAGCTAGATAAACTGATTGCGTCAATGTTTGTATAATTTCAGGAACTTCGGCATGTCCAAATGGCAAATTTTACTGTAGGAACATTGGAAGTTCTCCAAAGTTCGTTTACTCTTCTCGTGTGAACGATCATATCTGTGGTCAGTAGTTACTGTGATCGTTTAAGCTATCTTGGTGTATGATCATCGCTTGAACACGAATCTACATGTTTTGTTTGGATAACAATAGTTTTTGCAGCATGACATTGTATGTTTCAGATTGCTGCGATGGAAGCGACGAGTACGAAAGTAGCATTCATTGTCCCAACACATGTGTAATGGGTGGTAACGTTAACTACATCTATAAACCTAGAACCAACCTTAAATCTATCCACTTGCAACTCGGTTCAACACTTCATCCAAAAGAGTCTTATACCATGGGGAATCTTCAGGACATGGTCAAGAATCTCCAAGGTTTGGCTACTTTATTCGAATGCTAATTTGGTTTCTTCGATTGTCTAGCAAACTGAAACGAAAAAAATTGTTGTTGTTGTTGTTGTTTCCAGGTATGAAGCTTGTCTTCGCCCTTCAGATGGTTTTTATCGGTTTCTTAGTGATCTTATGGATGCTTACGCGCCGTGCTCGGTCTAAGAGGAGACGTTATCTGCTGAAGAATGTATCTCCCAGTAATAGATCAGCTAACTAACTCTCTGGAACTTTGGTTCTACAAAATGGATTCACAATTTGGATGATCTGAGATCTCATGGTGAATCATTCGACTGATACAAGCTTTTTATAAAAATGAACTCTTGTTTGTTTTTATGCTTTATCGTTTTTGTGTATAATGAATTTGGTCTTGGTTCTTTTTGGTCTTCTGATTTTTTGTGATCAGAACTCAGAAGTAGAGATATAGTATCTATGCAAATCAGCATTAGTTAGTTGAAGAACTTCATCAATCCTCTCTTTGAATCATATACAAACAGTATTACAAGCCATGGAAGAGAACAGAGAAATTTGTTTTCAATTCACATTAAAAAATCTTGAAAATTTGATTTGCAAATTCGAGATTAGATATATCCACAAGTTGCATTTAGCAGCTGTTTCTTGTTGCTTTAAGAATGTCTTCTCAACGCTTAGCTTCATCATTGCCCTTCAATCTTCTGCTTCCTTGTGAATTGCTGCAACCTTCTTCTTCATCTTCTCTGCATACTCTGTTTTCTTCTTCTCTAGTCGCTCCTGCATTTTAACAAATTCACAAACACTTCACTTCTGCCATCATTGCTCTTCAATCTTCTGCTTCTTAGCTTCATCATTGCTCTTCATCATTGCTTATTCATTTACCAAGTTTTGTCGTTGGCAGCGGATGATATATATGTCTGATGGTGATGATGCTGGAAGAGAATGAAGCCATGGTTTCACAGTGCACGATCTTGAGTAGCTGATGGAGTTTAGTTAGAGCTTGGTCGCTTTAGTAGCTAAGGTATTTGTAAACTGAAGATGCTAATGGTTTAGGGATGACGATGTTGAAGAAGAAAGCTAGTATTTTAAGGAATTATTTGAAAATGACACCCATCTTCTCTTTTCTTTTCTACTTCTGGTATGTTAACTTAGAAGGTTACATGTGGATTGAAGCCTTGGAAGGTGTGTCTCATGACATAACAGATGATGTGTGATTTCCTCCTTTGAACAAAATCGTTTGGTTTTGATAATAACATGAAAATATTTCTATGAGATTATTACTGTCCGATACACATTTAGAGAAAGAGTTCACTGATGAATATATTCCGTTAATACATGTACACGAACTTTTTCAAGTTTGATTTATAACTTTAACATTTTTTAGAAAATATAAATATATTCCGTTAATTATTCCGATCTCGAATAAAGTTTGATAAAAAAAATTTGGACAGACAAAAAATCCGAAATTATACGATTGAGGAAAAAAAAGTGGCAAGTGTCCTACATGTGGGTGTGGTCTGGGACAAAGCAAATATAGAGAAAAAAGAGTACACAAAACAAATCACATGGACTCACACATCAACATTATTCTCTTCCTTTTTCTTATTATTCACTCTCTCTCCACTCGTCCACTACTCTTTACTCTACTTGCTTCCTCCTCTCTGCATTGTTTCGCCCTCCTCGTAAGCATGGATGGTAACAAAGATAATCCATTACCATGGTGAAAGAAATAAAGAGATCGCTTAATGATATAGTAGTGACTAATATATGATCCATATAACGTGTGGGAATTGGGATATGTGATTAATAAGCTAAGTCATGGGATTTTTTTCCAATAAATTAAGTAATGTTGATCTATTCGACTTAATTCTATATATAGATGAAATTGTGTGCTATTAATCATGTAATCATTGTACTTCTTTGAGCTAGGTTTACACTCTCTCGTACATAAATTATTAATTTACACATGATTAGCAACAAATACGAGGTAAACACTTTTGCGTTTATGGATCGGACATTCATATATATGAAAGAAACGTATATATTAACCCATTCAACAAATTGAGAATGTTTACATTGATGATAAATAGTAAATATATAATGAGAAAACAATTTCGTAAGCAAACTCAAAAGAAAGGTCACAAGGACACGTGCTTGCTTGATTCCTCCTCCAATCTCTTACATAGATTGGAAAAAAACCAGTGGAGGAGACTTTCCAGTAAAACCGTTGAGAACTTAGCCTCACTTCTCAAGACAGCTGTTTCATAGCTGTCCGATCTCAATATCTCCCTCCATGTGACCCTACTCAGAGAGAGATAATAAACACTTTGATCACATCGAATTTATTATGTTCTTTCATCAGATTTTACATTAGATATCTCACGCACTCTCTCTCTATTTATCTCCTTTATTAATTCTCCTTTCTTACATTTTTAACTTCCTTCTATTTATATAACTACCATTAGTTAAACATAGCCATTTTCGTTACTCTTGTTCCGTTTTCTCCTCTCCTTTCATTTTTCTTTCTCTATCTTCCTATGGTTTAGGACATTGATCTCATTACACTTCCAATTTGTCTCAATTTCTTTCCTTTGTTTTTCTCATCTAGGTTTTTGGTTTTCTGAATTAGGTTTACGTTAGTATCTTGTAATTATTAATTAAGTTGTGTTTTTCCCTTCCCCAATCCTGTAAATTCAGATTTGTTTTCTTTGGTAATATTTTGGATCAAGATCGATCTATTTTTTCTTCCTCTATTGCCTAAAGAGATATATAGAATTCTCTTCAATGGCACAACTCCCTCCAAAAATCCCCAACATGACACAACATTGGCCTGATTTCTCTTCCCAAAAGCTCTCTCCTTTCTCTACCCCAATCGCAACCGCTGTCTCAGCCGCTAACACCGCCGTACAAAACCCCTCATGGGTCGACGAATTCCTAGACTTCTCAGCGTCTCGCCGTGGCAACCACCGTCGTTCCATCAGCGACTCTATCACATTCCTCGAAGCTCCAACCGTCAGCATCGAGGACCACCACTTCGACAGGTTCGACGACGAACAGTTCATGTCGATGTTCACCGACGACGACGGCCTTCATAATAATCCTTCCCATATCAACAACAACAACAACAATGTGGGACCCACCGGCTCTTCCTCGAACACATCCACGCCGTCCAATAGCATCAACGACGACAACAAAGAATTACCACCGGCCGATCATAACATGAACAATAATAACAACAATAACGATGAAGTCCAGAGCCAATGCAAGATAGAGCCAGAGGATGGTACGGCGTCGAATAACAATTCCGGCGATAGCTCCGGCAACCGGATTCTCGATCCCAAAAGGGTTAAGAGGTAAAAACATTATTCAAGAACATGCATGCACGTAAAAATATCAACTCAGATTTGTTTACGATGCACCACATTTTTTGTTAAAAAGTAAATTACTGAAAAATTAGCGTCACATCAGTAACCGTATAATGTTTTTTTAATTATTAACAGAAACTAAATAAATATTTCTGAATGTTTCTACAGAATATTAGCAAATCGGCAATCAGCACAGAGATCAAGGGTGAGGAAACTGCAATACATATCAGAGCTCGAACGTAGCGTCACTTCGTTGCAGGTACATATACAAACATTCATAACCTTTTTAATTAATCGAATAATTTATGATGATTATGACCTTTAATCATTTTTGTGCAAACAAATTGAAATTAAAGGCGGAAGTGTCAGTGTTATCGCCAAGAGTCGCGTTCTTGGATCATCAGCGTTTGCTTCTCAACGTCGACAATAGCGCTCTCAAGCAACGAATCGCTGCTTTATCTCAAGACAAGATTTTCAAAGACGGTAATCTTCTTCTCTCTCTTTTTTTTAAAAAAAAATATTCGGAAAAATCTATGTCCACAACAAAAGACAACACTATGTATACTAGAAATTAAAATCAATAAGAAAATTAATTATTGTTTCTCTGCATACATAACTTTTGGATTGAAGTCTCATGTAAATTTGTCGAGGAAATTATGGAATATGTGTGTTTATGAGCTTTTTCATTTTCTCGTCCATGCATTCAATTATCACTGACAATATATATATATATATATATATGAGCACGCCCAATCACTGACGACGTTAAAAAATAATATTATTTGGCAGCACATCAAGAAGCATTGAAGAGAGAAATAGAGAGACTTCGACAAGTGTATAATCAACAAAGCCTCAAGACGATGGAGAATGCAAATCATTTACCGGCGACCGGAGCCGGAGCTACCTCAGCCGTCGACATCAAGTCGTCTATTGAACAAGAACAGCTCCTCAATGTCTCATAAATTAATCATCATCAACAACATGTCTCGCTCTCTCTCTTCTTGGCAAAAGTTCTTGACTATAAAATCTCTTTAGGCTAAGAATTTCAGAAGATGACATTTTTTATTCTAATCACATTGTTTTTAAGTTGTGATGAATTCAATTTGATGTATCTTATTTTTTTTTCTTTTTATGTCGTCTTTTTTTCTTGGGGAATTGATGGAAGGGGATCATCAATTGTTGTTTGTACAAAGAACTAGTTGATTTGTTATTGTTTTTTTTTTTTTTTGGGAGTGTATAAAGATTTGTGTACTAATTAAGATTTATTCGGAAATCAGTAGTTTATTTTCGATCATTGTCTACTCCAAATGATATTTCTTATCGTAAAAAGTTATAAACATTGTTCTAAATTTTTGATTATATCTATTCTAAAGTGATCTAGAGTATCAACAAAAAAAACATTGTTTTGAACGGCAAAAAGTAATCTATAGCTAATAAATGGCTGTTACACCTTTTTTCTGACTCAACGGGTTTTAAAAATAGTAGTATCAAGTATCAACATAGGAATATGTCATTTAACGACATTGAACTATTTTAAGTAATAAAACGATATGTTGACGTCACATAGAATCTAGAAGGTAAAATCATAGGGTACATCCACTCATGTAAGAAAAAGACAAATGAAGAAATATATACAGAAATGTACTGTGATCTAAAATTAAAGAAATGATAGTCTAAAACTCTGGGATTTTTAATAATGGGTCTAAATGGTAACCGCTGAATCCGGCTGAATTGGGCTGAATTGCTGAATCTGGCTGAATATATTGGTGGTTTTTTGCTGAATCTAGCTGAATAATTTTAAGTTCAAATGGTAACCGCTGAATCTAGCTGAATTTTTGAAAGTAATAATATAATTAAATTTATAAAAATATTAATTAAAGAAATATTTGTTGTGGACAATATTAGTTAAATAAATAATTTGAAATTTTAATTTTAATAAGCTTACTAAACATAACTATCATATTCAAAACAATAAGCCATTATAATTATTTATTATTTGTTTAGTTTTTCCTAAAAATAAATTTAAAATACATTATTTTGAAATACATTTTAGAAATTAACTAATAAGATAAGAGTGGATGTAATTAGTTTTTTTTGTTAAAAATATTAATATTATTTTTCAAAATTTGATATACTAAGATATAATTAATTGCATATATCATTTTTTTCTAAATATATAGTTTAAGGCAAATATATATAACTATGAACTATAAGCGTGGATGTAAACTTACCCAAATATTTTTCTTTGAATCCTTGACTAAATTTACGGTGGTTGATGTTTAAGAGAAATTCTAATAGAGAAAAATACAAAACATTTCAAATCCATATAATTCACCCAGTTTTACATTATTTTTGGTAAAGAAAAGAATAAAATTAGATTAATTCATTAAATAAAAGAATGGAGTAGGGCCAGTATAACCAAATAACAAAAATTCCACCGAGATTCCTCACCAATTTTTCAAATATGAATGATGTAACATTTGAGGAATTCCACAGTAATTCCACAACAATTCCACAATTGTATGTTACCATTTACAGCCAATAACTGATATTTGGTAACTTTCGTGATCTGTTTTGTTTAGGAGTTGCCGGAAATGATAGCTTTTAAAGTATATTCTGAATTGGTCAATAAAAGAAAACTTATGCAAGTGAAAAGGAAAGAAGAGAAAAGAGAAACGCGTGTGGACACACCTTGAAAGGCTTAAGCTGTGAATTCACGTGATGTGTTCCTTACTTCCTTCACTGGACCACTACGTTCTTCGTTTCATGATTGGTTTTGGTTTATTTATCCTTGAAAGATTTTTAATATTTATTTTCAAGATCTGGGTTTTTATGTTTCTTTCAGCAAATGGTAGTAGCATGGTATATAGCATTGGACCAATAGTGATAATGATATTTTAATTATATATTTGATTTTAAAATTGAATGGTTCGAAATCGAAATGATGATACAAGTGGCCACAGTTGAATTCGGGGAAAGAAGAAAAGTAACAAAGAAGCCTTCCAAAGTTTGTAATTACTAATTAATTTTTTTGGTCACTACTGTTTTAAACCAAGACCAAACCAGAGAGATGACTGAAATGTAGTTGATAAAGAGTAGTGTTCATAAGATGCTTTGATCGTTATTGGCTACATTCACTGGCTAATGTCTACAAACCAAAAAAATCTACCAAAAAACTACAGAGCTACTAAAGATCATAACTACAGAGCTACTAAAGATCCGATGTTACTTCATTTTGGGTTCTTGAATCTTCTTCTTGGATCCATGCCGGTTCTGCAAATTCCTACCAAAGAAGAAGCCAGTAAGTATTTGATGACTAGAATCTCAATAAGGACTTATTAAACAAGACTCAGGCTCTCTTCGTCCATTCAATCGTCCATAGATTATTTACATAACTGTGTGAGCAACACTAACTGAGTAACAAAGTTTTGAGTTTAAAAGAGAAAAGTACCTTCTCAAGTGTTTGATGTTGCATCAAATCTTCCAGGTATAGATTCACGTCTTGAAACTATCTCTTTCAAGAGGTTCACCTTATTTTGGAACCTGGTCAGCTTCTCGTCAAGCAGCTCTACTTTTTTGTTAAGGTTCACTTCATACTCTTTAATCCAGAGACTTCCAAATTCTTCTACTTGTCTCTCTATTAGAGCTCGTCTCATCCCCTCTTCTTTTTCTTCTTTCAATCTTAGCTTCTCGATTTCAGCAGTGCTCAATACTAAACCTCCAGTACCTTTAACATCTCTGTATATCGGTTTATCACGCAAAGGGCAAACTTTCCTGTGCTTTCTACATGCCTTCTGTGTTTCTTTTAAAGCTTTCTGGTACCAGGCTAATACACTTGTCATCATACGAAGTTCATTCTCAAGCTTATATATCTCTACGTCCTTCTTGTGTTGCTCTTCGTAAGTTTCCTTGTGCAATTGCTGAATTATTTCTTCCCTCCTTTGCAGTTCATTAAGCAACATTTGTTCCCTCATATTCGATTCTCCACAAGCTCGGTCTTTCTCGGCATATGATAACTTAGCCTTATCTGCCAAGTGCTTAATCTGCTCCATGCACACGTCAAAAGAAACTGGCTTGTCATCCCAATATGGTGTCTTCAACCTCTTAGTACTAGCAGGGTTATCAAAATGGTACGAAATATCATTCTCGTGATCAATCTCTCTCTTGTTGTCATTCCCAAAGTGAGAACGACCTGGAACCATATGCATGACAGCCCTAGATCTCATGAAATCACCAGTAGAATTGCCATGAATCTGTAGCCCAGAATTATAACCTAATGGAGATGTATCTCCCAACATCAGATTTTCCTGGTGTACTGTTTCACCGTTTGGAAACAACAAAAACCCTCCGTCGTGCTTTTCTCCATCTTTCTCAATTTCATCTTCAAGTTCATACTCTCCCACTTTCTTATGTCCTGTCTTGTTCCTTTCATATCCTACAGTAGCACCACCAACATCACACCCCTGAAGAAAATGTGAGCCAGCATGGCTGTCTTCATTCAAAAGCCATTTTCCATCTCCTTCTTCCTTGGTTTCCTGAAGATCCTTTGGCTGTTCCTTGTTTTCCTCAAGATCCATTGCTTGTTCCTCATGATGATGCTCCTCCTCAGCAGCAATTTCGGACACAGTCACTTTCCCAAGATTCAGTTCGATCATACCTTCCTCCACACACTTTTCTTCCTTTGAGTCACTAGCTCCATCATCCATTCTTAGATTCAAAGCAGAAATATCATCCTTTACCTTCAAATCCCCCACTTTAACCTCAACATCCTCCACTCTTGACTGTTCCCTCGGTGTATCTGCTTCCGGAGATTTGATCAACAAATCCTCCACCTTCACATCACTATCCTCCACTCTGGCCTGCTCCCTAAATAGATCTATTTTCTGTGATCTAATCACCATCTGCAGATGCGACGCATAGAAACAATCCCCCAGTGGAGGCTCCGCTTTCAACTCTTTTTCAACCATGAACCACATCAATCCAGCCCAGTCAAGCTTATCCAATTGCTTTTCCTTTATACTTTTCTTCCACTCCACCACCTTATCTGGCATCATCCACGCATCATCACAATGCAGTAGCATCCAATTAGAGACAACTTCGTCAACAAAACTGATTGATTCATCTGATTCCAAAAGCTCATCTAGAATGACAACACGTTCTTTCTTATTAGGCAACTTCAAAGCTCGAGCCAAATCCGCACGACTCAGTTTAATCCTAGACCCATTTATATAACTACACCTACCCACATCACTATAGTAAGCAATAAGTTGAGCCACAAGATCATAATCCATATCCTGATCAAATTCCAAATGCACAAAATCCCACAGACCAAGAGTCTTCAAGAGACACTCATAACGAGCAAAATCTAGGGTTTTAAATGGCTTGAAGGGTACAAGCTTTAAGTTTTCAACAAGTACCTTGAGCTTCTCCTTAGACTTCTCTTCTTGCTGCTTACGTTTCTTATCGTTCCCTTTCTTCCGCTTGGGTCCACCACCGTGACAACTAAAAGAAAAGCTCGTGGCTTTTGAATCTACAGTATCAATCTCGTCTTTCTCAATCGACATTTCTAGTTTCTGATCACTACCATCTACCTCCTCAGCTTCCTGCGATTTCCTCATTTCGTTTAACACTGACTCTAGAATTCGGATTTTGTCAGGAACAGAATGTGTCTCGAAAGCTTCAGAGACTTCTCCTTCTACGTTAGCTTGCTTGATCAGGTTTCGCGAAATAGTTACTGTATCTTGCTCTCGAGATTCAAAAGGATTCGCCGGAGAATCCATGACTGGCTTTTGTTTTCCCGATGTCCGCTTTTAGAAATCGAAAAGGTTAAGGAGCTAAAGAGTCTTTTTACCGATTAACCATAACTAATCTGCCACGTCATCAAATAGAGCAGCTAAAAACCCTTCATTATAGGCCCTTAAATATATGGGCCAAGGGAGTTTAACACGGCCCAGATCAGTTTAACCGAGTTCAATAACCGGTAAGAATTAAAAAATTACACTATTCACCCAAATCTTTACAATCATCACAAAAAACTCCAAAATCTATTCGACTCTTTCAAATTCACACTCTTCCTCCTCTTCGAAATCTCCGACTACAAAATCGATCAATCTCTCGGAAAAATGATCGTGTATTATCTCTCTCAATCTCACTGCCTCCTAATGCATCTCTCTCTCCTCATCACGGTTGCTGCTGCTGCGGAGTTTAGTGGTGAGGTTTTAGAGACGGAGCTCTAGTGCGTGGCGAAGAACAACGCTGAGGATTCGGCACTTCAAACGACCATTGACTGGGCTTGTGGTCCCGGAGGAGCTGATTGCGGCGGGATTCAGCAAGGCGGATCCTGCTACGATCCACCGGATATAGTGAAGATGGCTTCGTATGTTTTCAATAACTATTACCTGAAGAACGGTCTCGCAGATGAAGCTTGTAACTTTAGTAACAACGCAGCTGTTACTTCTCTCGATCCTAGTAAGTTCACATTTACTTTCTGGATCAAAGTATAGGAGATAGTGGAGGAATCTCGGAGAAACAGAGTCTCTAGGTGTGGAAAATGCAATTTCTGATTATGAATGACATTGGCAAATTTAAATGTTGAAAGTTTGGTGCTTTTGTTTTCAGGTCAAGGAACATGCAAGTTTCCTTCAAGGTAATTAGCATTTGTGTGTGTCATTTATAGTCTGTTTGGAGCAATTTTCGATCGATCTGAGGTTCTTTTAGAAATGATTCCTAGTTTGGTGGGTTTTGAGTGAAATCTTTGAGTAGCACTTTTCATTAGTTTCTGGATTAGAAGGATGAAGTTACTTTATTTCTCCTCGAGAACTGCTTTTGATCTTGGTGATATATTGTTCATATTACCAATATGATGCAGTTTCTGTAGAACATAGAAGAAGTTGCAAAAACTATTAAAGCAAATTTTCTGAAAGTGTTCTCATTCTCCATGGGGATTCGTTTCATTAAGCATATTAATAGTTACACTCATGCTCTTGAAATCTGGTGTGCAATAAGGGAGTAAATGGAAGTATCGCGGATGCCACTTCAACGCAGGAAACAACTGCACCAGAATCCTCATATTTAAACCGAGCAAGGCGGATGTTTAGCAGCTGGTTGTTGCCCTTCGTCATTTTAAGCCACATTGTGACAATAACTCAACTTTTTTAAGCTACCGCTTGGTGATTGAAGGTAACCCTTTTTTGATCTCTCCCTTTCCTCAACCCTCAGTTTTATACAACTAAAATGGTTCTGCATCTTTAATGGAGTATGTAGCTCTGTACTGTCTTACCACTGTGAATAGTTAAATAGAATGGCATCAACATTAGCTTTGTATCAAGATGTATCTTTTGACCAACATATAATAGTGTTCCATTACACAAAACTATCCAAAACCAAAAACAGAGAATGATTTAGTAAGAAAGAAAGGAAGGTATAGTATAAATTAAAGATTATCGATGTGTGTATATGATTTATATGCATTATATGTATCTCTATGTCGACTCAATGTCTCTCAAGATCCGCTACACGATCTTGGTCAACACAAGAATGATTGATCCTGTTCGAAGATCTTTCCCTTGTCAAGATCTTCCTAAACGAATTTAATCGCGAAGCCGAGGACGCAACTGTTTTGTTATCCGAGGAAGAAGAGGCCCCCGCTTCTACTGTCAAATTCAGCCTGGTTTCCTCCAACAACGGCGGTGCAGTACCCACTGGTCCTTCCCTTGGCTCAGGCTCAAGTCTCGGTCTTGGCTCAACTTCGGTCCGACAAACAGGACAAGTGGAACAAGTGGTGAGCCAAGTGTCAACACAGTCAACGTGGAAGACGTGCTTGCAATTGGGCAACTCTCTTGCCGTGTCTTGCTCCTCTAAGACGCTTAGACACACTGCGCATTCAGTAGCGGATGTAGCCACGCCATCAGTGGTTCTAACAGTGAAAGTAGGGAGAGAAGCGATGACTGCCGGATTGAGGCCACGCTTTGGCGTCTCAAAAGAGTGGCGGAACACGACGGGGAGACCACGGAAAGCTTCTCTACGGCGGCGGAGAACGAATCTTGCGTAGAGATGAAGAGCGAAGACGATGAGGATAACTCCGGATAAAGAAGCCACGGCGGCTAGCATGATCTTGCTGTTAAGATCGTAAGTAGACGGATTAGGCCAGAACGAGTGGTGTTGGGAGTTAAACCAGTGAGGATCTCTGTCGTTGGAGCTCATTGTGAAGCTTTTTTTCTTCAGTGGGTGGGAAAGAAAAGTGAACAAAATTGGTTACTAACTAATGATGTATTATATAAAGAATAAAGGACTTTTAGAATTTCTTATTTTGATTTTTTTCCAAGGCTTATACTTTAGTTGGTGAATGGAGAAAAATATGAAGTAGATAGAATTAGAAACTTTGAGAGATAGCTAGACTTTCAAGAGGGTTTAGAAATTTCACCATTGTTGAATAAATAGTAGATTGTAGATTAGTATAGGTGATACGTTTGAACTTTAAGAGATCGTATATAAAGTTTGGAAAATATCAAAATCCTTTGTTCATTATTTTGTAGACTGAATTTGCCTATTATGATTTCAGGGTATTAGGAGTTAGCTCGCATATATAGACTGGATTGTTTATCATCAATTCAGTGTATTAGTTAGTCTTATATGGTGCAAATTGGTTTATCCAAGCAGATATTGATAATAAAATTCATCCACTCTAAACATATAACTATTATTACAAACTGCAATCGTTAAACTTTTTTAAATGGATGATACAAGCTTTTTTGTTAACAAAAATGATAATATCCATAGTCAAGAAAATACGAAAATTATTGGTGAAAACGTGTGAGCCTGTGAGGATACGTGTGGGAACAACAAAGTTTGACTTGAAGAAGAGTCGTCGATGTAGACACACACATATTGAATACCTTATTAATCACAAAATTGTCTCTATTGTATGTTACAAGTTCAACGCTCTTTTTTCTTTTCCCCTTTTCACACGTTAAGCAAGCAAGCAACAATGTTTTTGTAATTACAGTAACATACAAAAAGTGTGCCATTATATTTACACATACAAATTGATTTGGGTAACAACAATAAAAAGTTAAAGGAACAAAGAGCATTATGGTTCATGGATTAATATACATTTTTTTAACCGGCGTACTATATATTGATTTCATTGTCTTTCTATATCCAATAATTCACGATCTTGGTCAACGCGAGAATGATCGAGCCTGTTCGAAGATCTTTCCCTTGTCAAAATCCTCCGGAACGAGTCTAACCTCAAAACCGATGACCCGCCTGTTTTGTTATCCGTCCCCGCTAAATCTAACGGTGGTGCAACGTCGCCAACTGGCCCTTCCCTAGGCTCAGGCTCAAGCCTTGTATGACTTGGCTCGACTTCAGTTCGACAAACGGGACAAGTGGACTGCGTGGTGAGCCACGTGTCAACGCAAGTCACGTGGAACACATGCTTGCAGTTTGGTAACATCCTCGCGTTATCTTTCTCTTCCAACAAGCTTAGACAAACCGCACATTCCGTACCCGCCACGTCATTCTTGCCTCCAACCACGAACGTTGGGAGAAAAGCGATGACTAGTTTGTCAAGGCCACGTTTGGGCGGATGAGAAGCGACGGAGAAGGAGAGGTCTTGGAAGGTGGATCTACGGCGGCGGATAACGAATTTTTCGTAGAGATAATAAAGGAAGACGATTATGATTATAATAGAGAAGAAAACGATGGTGCCGAGCATGATCTTGCTGCTGGCATCGTAAGAAGTCGAGTTTTGCCAGAACAATCGGTCGGAATCATCATTTTTGTTGTCAGAGCTCATGATGAAGCGTTTTTGTTTTGATAAAACAAGAAACACAATGTGGTTACTAAAAGTTAATAACAAGTTACTAATAGATTGAAGGGATCTAATTAAATTATTTTTTATGTTAATTTCTTATGATTTTTTACTTATGTTTATTCTTCATAGCTTTTATTCGGATTCAAGGGACATACAATATGATTGGTGGGTGTAAATAGGCAGTAGAATACAATCTGATATACTCATGAATTTTCAAAGGACATGGTTGACTTTACTCGGATTTGTTTATATTTTCTTAATTTTAAATTAAATATAAGAAATTCAAAAAAATAGGATTGCAATCTTCTTTATACGCATATATACCATTAATACATAACATGTCGACATTATATATATGAGAATTCTAGATATACGATGATACAATTTATCCCAATAATATGATAGGACTTAATGTAAATGGAGCATATATAGTCAAGAAAATACGAATTTTTAAAGTTATAAACGTGAGGTGTGGAGCGAGGCTGCGTATGGGAATCATATCGTTTGACTTGAAGAAGAGTCTTCGAAGTAGACAAATCATGCTAAAATATTACAAGTTGTGTGAATATATTAAAAAATTCAACTCTCTTTTTATTTATTTTTACACGTTAGCTTCTTTTAATTCCTTGTATATACTCTTGTAGGAAAAAGTCATTGTATTTTGATATTTTTCTTTTGGTAGGATCTTTGTATTTTGATATCATATACTCTTGTAGGAGTATATATTTTCTTTGTATTAATAACATCGAAAATATGACTTTTTCTCATTTAAGATAAGATATTTGTACTTTTCATAAAACTCACTGGATTTGGGCTTCATTTTCTTTTGTTGGCCACATAATAATAAGAATCTTTCTTGGTCCGTAACAATATACAAATTTCGTTAACCATGGAATGAGTAATTTCATAACCAATTTCATATCTATATGAATCTCCTACTTAGATGGAAATATGCTAGTTCCGAAATTGAAACTAAAACCAATCAGGATATGGTGTCTTGAAAAAAATTATGTGGTTCAATAATTGTAATTATGAAGTGTCAAGAATGTCCCATGTGTTAACAAGTTAAGAAATAATTGATATCTTAACTTATAATATGTAGTTTAGTACAGTGTGAATGTGGTTTAGGAAGTGAGTGATAAGAGTTTAGAAGAGTGTAACTATTATTAATTACATTGGGCTATATTCTTAATCCAATTTTAAGTCCAAAGACCAAAACGGCGTGAAGGATTTTAGTAAGGGACGCTTGATCCGACGGTCAAGATCCATTTGATGATTAAATCAATGGCAGATCTTTCGTGCGCGTCATTCAATTTCTTTTGTTAGTTTCCTTTTTTCGTTCTCATATTCTTCAATTTCAATCACAACTCTAAAATTTACTCTCTTCTATTTCGTTCTCAACAAATCCCAAATTCAGATTTAATTAGGGTTTCAGTGCAGTGAAGAATGTTTCCATCCATGGAGTTTATAAAACCCTTAGGCAAAGGTTCGTATGGTTCCGTGGATCTCGTCAGATTCACGAAACCCGACGGCTCGAACCCGTACTACCAAGCCGTGAAAACCTCTTACCCACAAGACTTCGAATCTCTCCTCAAAGAGTTTCAGATTCTATCTAAACTCAGAGAATGTCCTAGAATCGTGCAAACTTGCGGGACAAGTCTATCGAGAGGTGTCAATGAATACGGAATCAGAGTTTATAGAATGGTAATGGAGTATGCAGCTGGTGGAAGTTTAACTTCTTTAATGGAAACAATATTATTGACTGATTCGATGATCAGAGACTTCACTCGTATGATCCTTGAAGGACTTGTCTCTATCCATAGTCACGGTTATGTTCATTGCGATCTCAAACCGGAAAATATTCTCGTGTTTCCTCGTACTTGTGAAGGCAGTGTTTCATATGAATTGAAGATTTCGGATTTTGGAATGTCGACAAAAGTTGGAGAAGACTCAGAGTTTTGGGAATATGATTCTCCGTTTTTGGGAACATCTCTTTACATGTCGCCAGAATCTGTTCAAAACGGGATCGCGGAGGAAGCCCTAGATTTGTGGTCATTAGGTTGTATCGTGTTGGAGATGTATACTGGAGAACCGCCATGGCAGTTGGAAGATTCTAAGAAGCTTTTGCCTCTTTTGTTGAATGGGAATGCACCAGAGATCCCAAAGTCTCTTCCTTGGGACGCAAGACAGTTTTTACAAACGTGTTTCGCAAGTAATCCTTTGGAGAGAGGAAGCGCTTCGGAGCTATTGAAGCATAAGTTTCTACAGAATGTTTCCAATGAGAAGAAGGGGAGAGTTACCGTCGCCGGAGATAAGAGAACGTCGGTTTTGGTATTGAAGTCTAAGAACTTTTCAAAAAAGCCCCTAAAAATCAAGATTATTCCACCAAAGCCACCGCAGTTTAAGGGAATTTCGAATAGACCCTTGAGGTTGAAGATTATACCTCCGAAACCCCCAGGATGCAATCTTGTTCCGGTTCAATAATGTGTCAGTATTCGTCTTTGTTACTTGGTTGTTGGTGTTGTAGATCAATTTAGTTACACGTTGATACAATTGTAAGGCTTCAAATTATGAAAATGTATGCATGGTATTTTTGTTCTCCACTTATAGTCTTTTATGTTACATATGGAAATTTTATGGGAATGTGTTTTTCTCTCTGTTTTTTTTTTGGAGATATAATATTTTTTTTTGTCAAATTAACAAAGTAGTAATTAAGTGTTCGATATCTGCTACAAAGTTCGATTTGAAGATGAATCTATATGCAATTTATAACTTTGGAAGACTGTTTGAATTGGATTCTAGAGCAAATCAAGGTCCTTTCTTTTAAAACTACAGATCTCTAAATTTCCATTTTTTTCTTATATCTCTTGATTACAAGTTTCCAAGATTTACATTTTCAAACAGAACTTCCCTTTCCTTCAAATTTCCCACTAAATGCTAATTCTAACACTTCACTTGTCAAAGTAAGACCCATTGCTTCCTCCTTGTTCTCTCTTGTATCTATACTCCAAACTTTCTATCAATCATCTTTTTTTTTTGGCTACAAACATTATTTGATTTTAAAAAAAGACCACATTTTTATTGATCATTTGAAGAAAATGAAAGATAGAAATTTAAAGAATAATGACGAACAATTTCGCTCGATTTACAAGTCTTATTTTATCTTTTTGCAATTAAAGACTATAAGAGCAGGATTATCGGTTAAGATCCCTTTGGATCTTAAACTTGGATCTTAACTTTATTTTAAATAAAAATTTCACTATTTGTAAGTTAAGAAAAGTTATACAATATCTTAACAAATTTTTACTCCATTGGTTAAGAAGCAAAGAGTTCTTAAGGATAAAAAATTCAAATTGTTACAAAACACTAACTTACAATACAAGTTACACACATTTCTCTTCCAAAAGCTTCATGTTATCACATTTCTCTGCAACTCCACTTGTTTCTACTGCACTTCAACTCTGGCTGCAGTAAGCTCATCACTTTGTTCATGGCAAATTCTCCAATAAACCTCATCAAAAACAGTAGAAAGGATCAAAGCAATGAAAACAGAGAACACTTATCAAAAACAGAGACATTTATCTATTTCAAGCAAAACTCATTCAAACAGACCAAACCAATCAACTGATTCTGTTTTGCCAAAATTAAACAAACACAAGTTCATTCAAACATTGATTCATTCGTTAGAAAACTGAGACTTAACTTATGAAAAAAGACTATTAGCATTGGCTCATGCTATTTGTGCGATAGATTAGGTATTCTACTTGAGCAGAGATCACCAAATAAACACTTGGAAAAACACAAATCTAAATCATGTAAAATCAGAAGTTCAATGATATAGCCATAATTGAGGTATGCTGCACTAAACAAAGTTTATCTGAACCTTTTCTAACCAATTTCTTAAATTTATGAAGCACAAAGGCATTTCTTTTTCCAGGTGGCTGGACAGAACAACAAATCACAATCAGTTAAAGAACCCTAACATCATAGAATACTAATTTTGCTACCAATTTCTCTCCCAATTGTGAAAATCCTAATTTACGATGTACTAATGAAATCAGAGAGAAATTAGAGAGATTCGTACCCTTTCTCATGTAGATCATGATACCGACGGATCAAAAACGCAATCCCCACTCATTTCTCCTCTCAGTTCGACGGATGAAGACGAGTCGGCTCGATTTCTCCGGCGGAAGCTTCGAGAATTGCAGGGATAGAGAGACGCCACCGAGAAGCTCTGATTACGTGAGATGAAACACGCAATTCCATCTCATTTCTCCTCTCAATTCGTCGGATCAACAGCCTCAGAGCAGGATTTCGCCGTTTTGGTTTCGAGGAAAAGAGAGAGAGAGAGAAAGGTCGAGAGAGAAATAAAAAAACGAGAGGGTTTTTTTTTGGCTTTGTTGTTTCTTCAAATTAATCAGAGCAGGACACGTGCTCATATCTAAACTCATCAACAACATCTTAAATAAGATATACATCTTAGCATTTGTTTGATCTATTCATTAAATTTAATAATTTTTTCTCCTAAAATATGTCTAAGATACTGCCGTTATTCATGCTCTAACTCTTCTTATTTTTTTTTCTTCTAAGAGCATCTCCAATGGGGAGCTCTCACCATGGGAGTCTCTCAAATTGTTTAATATAAATTTGAGAGATTTGTGAGATGAGAACTTTTGTTTTTTTTAAAAAAATTTCATAGTCCAATGGTAAGTTCTCTAGTGGGGTTCTCTTAAAAATTTTTTTTATTAAAAACTTTATTTTATAAAACTTAATAATTTTTGCAATTCATAAAAATATAAACATATGATCAAATTTATGTGTTTTGGTTTTTAAAACACTTTATCAAATTTTGGGAGATGAAGAAAAAGAAGATTTGGATTCAAGTCATGGTTTTGTCGTTGATGTAAACTTAAATTATGGTTTAAGTTTTCATATGGTGTCAAAACTGAGATTCGGATTTTTGTTGATGGATCTGCTTCTTGTGGCTTAGCTTCAGAAACAGGGGACTTTGTTCTCCTCTTTGGCACTAGCTAATGCTTTTCTGCAACGTTATTAAAAACCAGTTATGGTTTTATCCACTTTTGAAGTCCAACGTTTACCTTTAAGAAGAGGTTCACAAACACTATCATGGAAATTTATTATATAAACTTTACAAATATGTATGAGAGCTTTAAGTTATAACACATGAACTTGCATAAAGCTTTCATTGGAATGAACACACCATAAGTTGCACACATAACACACAAAGAAGCTGAAATAAACTCAGTCCCACTTGCTCTTCAACTTATCAACGTGTGTAAATTCATATTTGAATACCAAACTCCCATCAGTTCTTTTCAATTCAAAGGTCTCTACCAGTGCATAGCACATATAACTCTTCCAATGCGGTTCACCGTCTTCAAATTTCTCAGTTCTCTTGGCTATGTAAGAATTATCTATCAAAATCATGAAGAGACTTTCCTGCAGATTTAGAAGATGATAACAATTATGGATTGAGTAAAAGCTTTACAAAAACATATATATCAAACATATACATCACAAACCATATGCTGAACCTATTAAGAAAAAAGGAAACTTTGAATCCCAAAACACAGAGATACAAGAAAATCTATATAAACATCACAAACGTTTTTAGTATCATCACAATTCACAATTCACAAACCCAGAGAAACACAGAGAGAGTTATAGATTTTATTCTTCGATTTCATGTCCAATTTGCTTACGATTCTATTCTTCAAGTTCTACTTCGTTTACCTCTTCTCTCTCCTCGAATTTCATGAGGACGTGGCTTTGCTTTTCCGGTGAAGAATGCTTTTGCGTTTACAGAGAGGTTGCGTTTTCATTGGAGCTTCTCTCCGGCGAGCAGCACCAATCGACAACAGCGCCAATTGAGTAACTTGTTCCATAGCAGCCTGCGCGGCGGTCATGAGTTTAGTGGCGAGACCGAGCTTGCGATGGGTACGAAGAACGGCGAGAGAAGTGATATGGCTGATGATTTTTAATTTCACACTTCAAAATACTCCCAATCGGAGAAATCTCCGGTTTGATTGCCATCGCTAGAGACAGAAAGTCGGGAATTTTTTTGTTATAGAGATAATTTGGGAGGTTTTGATTCCCGACGAAATGCAGAAGAAATGAGAGAGAGAGGGTTTTTTTATTTTTGGTTAAATCTAGTCAACCTATCAGAGTTTGTCACGTGGGCGGCTCTCTCACATTCTCAAAAGGGAAAATGTATCTCAGCTACGCCAACAATACGTCAACACATCGTCACACATGCAGACAAAGAAAATGTTGCGAAAACTACACCAACTACTGTAATCACATAACGACATGCACGAACTAACATGAGTTATGGTGCCAACACCAAAAACATACATTCCGGTACCGTTCCCGTGAAAGACGCGACGGAATCCGGCACCGGAGATACCCAATTTTAAACCCGACCCATATTCAATTAAAACCCGACCCATATTCAATTAAAACCCGACCCAGATTTAAAAAAAAAAAAAAAAAAGCCAAATTAAAATAAAACCTAACCTAAATTAGAATGTCGATTCTCTGTTCTTAAGTCTGGTTTCGAGAGCTTAGAAGTGTTTGTGTGGGTGAGGTGTGTTGAGGAAAAGAGATTTCTAAATCTCTGTTAGAATCTAGCCAATTCTCGGGTTTCATCGGGTTTGAAACAGGTATGATGTAATTTGATTTCTTACAAATCCAAGAATAGGTTTGAATACTCGATGAGTATAATGGGACAAATTTGAGTGTTGATTGTGGTAATGGAAAGGATTTCGTATTTATTTTGGCTGTAATTGAACAAGAATGTGTAATAGAAGAGTTTAATTGTCTGATTTTAGTTGTTTGTTGAAATGTCTGTAAGATGGATACAAGTAGTGGGTCATCTAGTATGAGTAGATCGTCTGGAGCTCTGAAAAAGTGTAATTGTGGATTGCCGGCGAAGATATACAAATCGAAGACAGATATACAAATCGAAGACAGAGAAGAATCCTGGTTTCGAAAGCCATAAATAAACCCAGAAAAAATCGAGTTCTTACCTCATTGGAACTAGATTCCGTGCGATTCACTCTCTAAGCTTCAAATCGTGACAATGTTGGACAAGGATTCTGGTGATTCGAAGCTCACTCTACTTCTCTCAAGAACCCTAAAACGCAAAAGGAATCGCAAAGGGATTAGAGAGTTTTATTAAGTTAATGGATTTGGTTAGTTTAAATTCGTTTTGGGCCTGGTTTAGGCCCAGTTAATCTCAGATTTTTTTTTTTTGGTCGGATTTTAAATTGCGTCTGGGTCGGGTTTTAATTGAATATGGGTCGGGTTTAAAATTGGGTATCTCCGGTGCCGGATTCCGTCGCGTCTTTCACCGGAACGGTACCAGAATGTATGTTTATGGTGTTGGCACCATAACTCATGTTAGTTCGTGCATGTCGTTATGTGATTACAGTACTTGGTGTAGTTTTCGCAACATTTTCTTTGTCTGCATGTGTGACGATGTGTTGACGTATTGTTGGCGTAGCTGAGAAACATTTTTCCTTCTCAAAACTCTCATAAGAGAAACGACTCTCTTCATAATTACATGTTTTGATTTATTTTTAATCACTTAAATTAAGAGAACCTATCAAATTTTTTGAGAGAATCTCCTTTTGGAGATGCTCTAATATATCTCACAGTATTCAAATTATCCTCCATATAAATTTCAAAATTAAAATTTCCACACCTATTCAAAAACTTAAGTCGGTTGGCGTGAAATAAAATGGGCTAAAAGGCCCACCAATGCAAGGCCCATCTTTCGGGAGAGTAGTAACTAAATTTTGTGGCGTAGAGAGGGAGGGAATTCGAAAACAGATGATAGCGGCAAACGCAAAGTAGCTTGAAGAAATCCGTTGCTCATTCTCTTCTCCGATCGTTTTCTTCTTCGCATCTCAAAGGTCTCTCAGTCACAGAAGATGGAGGAAACGCAGTTGGTTCTCTGTTTCTCAGTTTCTCGGAATCAAATTCCAGGTAATCGATCTAGATTCTCAACGAGCGAATCAGTTCTGAGTTTGGCGTTTTGGATTTATGAGTTTTTCTGCGTTTCGTTTATGCTAGTAATTTCTGAAAATCCGTTTGATTTCATCGCGTTTTCATGGATTCTGGATTATCGGTGTGGTTTTTCTGGTGATCGATTGATTTTTCCGGTGGAGAAATTGATAATTTCTGGTGGAGGAATTGAAAATTTTCTGGTGATTGATTGATTGTTATGAAGATAATATGTTAGGATAATCAATTTGATTTCCGCGAATTTTGGGTGATTTGGAATCTAGAATCTCGTTGTTCCGTTTTTTGCGTTGTCATGGATTCTGGATCCTGCGTGAGGTTTATTTGATGTTCTCGTTGTTTGTGATGATTCATGAGTTTCTTTGTTCATAGATTACAATCCGGAGGAAGAGAATTTGAGTGAGAAAATTCTGGATCAATTGGGTGATTTCAAGAATGTGGAAGAAGTGGTGTCTAAGCTGACAGAGAAACTGAATCTGACCGAGTCTCAGGTTGCGAGTATAAGGAAGTCATTGATTAAGGCTGAAGAAGAAGCTCAACAAGTTCCACCATCATCACCGAGTGCTGCACATCTAAGTAGTAAATCAAAGAGGAAGAAGATGAAGAAACAAGCCTCTAAGCTACAGAGTAAAGTTTCTTCTCACTTATTTCATCTCTTTGTTTCATGTGTTCTTCAATCTCAACAAAAGCTCCTGTTTGTGTTTGTCTTTGGCTTCTTTTAGCACAATCCGAATTACTTGATCCTGCTGATACTGAAACAATTGAAGCACTGAAGAAGGAGTTTTCAACTGCTTTGGGCTTGTTGAAGATCGTACAACAGCTACACAAAGTATTATTCCCTAAAAGAGTTGGAGCTGGACAAGTGAGAGTTGCAGCTGGGAACAACATCAGTGGACAAGTGAAAGCTGCTCCTGGGAACAACATATGTGGACAAGTGAGAGCTTCTGCTGGGAACATCATTAGTGGGCAAGTGAGAGCTTCTGCTGGGAACATCATCAGTGGGCAAGTGAGAGCTGGGAACATCATCAGTGAACAAGTGAGAGCTGGGAACATCATCAGTGAACAAGCAGGGCTAAGGAAGCATGTAGGAAACCGATGGGAATGAAGGAGCCAGTAACGCTTTGGGGATTTTAGAGATTTGACTCGAATCTTAACTTGTGTAATAGCGAGATACTTGTTAATAACGAAATAGTAAACAACAACCCTCCATATTTCTTCTTTATAGATGGAGGAATAGCTTAAGCTAGCACCAAAATGCTTTCTCTAGTCTATCTGGTGCAGGGATCGAGTTTCTTGCTAGTAAAAATGTTCGTCAAGGAAACAAGAGAGTGAATGCAACAAAGCAATACATCCCCAAAATGTTGTAAGAAAGGCAAAACAAGCATGTACAGTACAAATCAGTCACAAAATTCACAAAGGCAAAATGACAAAGCAAAGATTGTTCCTCTCAATGACGTCAGATCGGGTTATCGGGCTATCGGTTATACTCGAAATACATCTTTTAGTGGGTTTTTTTTTATCATTTGGTTAAGGCTAGACTCAAATAGGCCCGATGGTCTCATTATCTCATAATGTTTTTTTTTTTGGTTATGCTTATGAAGGAAAAAAATTTATGTGAGCCCCTTTTGTTTGTGGGCCGCTGGTGAAACATTCGGTAGAGTGTTTAGATAAAAAAACGATGACGTATTGACCGAGTAGGGCAAAGTATTTGCTTGGAATTGGTCAAAAAAACCGTCCCTGTTAATTTTTGGAATTGGTCAAAAAAAGCTTGAAACTACGTTTTCTCATCCTTGCTCTGTCTCAAATTCGCAGGTACGCTTCTTCAAATTTTCCTTATACAAATCAACAATGCTTTCGTAACCTCTACATGGAAATTTTCTCCTTTTTCAATTGAGGTAATCTTAATTGTTTGCAGGAACCCTAAATTGAATTTCGTGGCTTTATCATGGGTGACGAGATTTTATTCAAAGGAAAGAAGGAGAAGAGGAAACAGACTAAGGAGGACGCTATTTATGGCACCTTCTTCGAAAGTGATTCGAGCTCTGATGATTCCGGCGGCTCTCGAAGGACGAAGAGGCGTAAAACCAAACCTGTCAATTTTCTTTCTGCAGGTAACATTGATCAGGTACTGAAACAGAATCGGGGGAAAACTAAAATTGATGAGTATCAAGATACTATTTTACCTGATGCATTGGGTAAGAAGATAGCTGATAAGACACATGTGAGAGAGAAGAAGGATAAAAAGGAAAACTTTGAAAAGTTCAATGGAGGGATTGGTATGAAATTGCTCGAAGAAATGGGATATAAAGGAGGTGGGCTTGGGAAGAACCAGCAGGGAATTGTGATTCCCATTGAAGCGCAACTGAGACCGAAGAATATGGGTTTGGGTTACAATGATTTCAAGGAGAAGACTGCACCGTTGTTGCCTGCTTTAAACAAGGTTGAGGAGAAGAGGACTGTTGAGGTCACTGTTAGTGAGAATCATGGTGATGGAAGGAGGAATCTTTGGAAAAAGAAGAATATGAGGAAGGAAGTTTATATTACTGCTGAGGAGTTTTTGGGGAAGAAACAGGAAGAGGGTTTTGGTTGTGGTCAGACCATTATTGATAAGCGAGGACCACAAGGTCGAGTTGTTAAAAGTTTACGAAATTTATACGCAGAGGAGAAAGCAAGAGATGCTAATGTTCCACAGCCAGAGTTACAGCATAACTTGAGGTTTATTGTTGAGTCAGTCGAGCATGGAATTCTGAAGATTGATAAAGATTTGAGGAATGAGAAAGAATCAGCCTTGAGCTTGCAGCAAGAGAAGGAGAAATTTAAAATGGGGGAAAAGAAACAGAAAATTCTGTTTGACAACTTGGGATATATTGCAGAGGAAATCGATCGAATTGAGATGGAGAATGCGTCTGGGAATTTAACATTGGATTCACTTGCCAATTGTTTCAAGGACCTGCGTTCAAGCTATCCTGATGACTATAAGAGTTGTAACTTGTCATGCATTGCTTGCTCACTGGCCTTGCCTCTCTTTATCAGGATGTTTCAGGGTTGGGACCCTCTTAGTGATGCAGAGCATGGTATCGAGGCTATAACTTCCTGGAAAATGCTACTGGAAGTTGAGGACAATCAAAGCATCTCGATGCCTTATAGCCAACTTGTCTCAGAGGTAATTTTACCTGCTGTGCGAGTATCAGGCATCAATACTTGGGAACCTAGAGATCCTGAGCCAATGCTGAGATTTGTAGAGACATGGGAGAAATTGCTACCTTCGTTTATTTTCCAAACGATTTTGACCACAGTAGTGCTGCCCAAGTTGTCCACCGCTATTGAATCTTGGGAACCACGTTTGGAAACTGTTCCCATCCATGTTTGGGTGCATCCGTGGCTGCCATTTCTTGGTCAGAAGTTGGAAAGTGCGTATCAGATTATTCGGATGAAATTCGGTAACCTTCTTGATGCTTGGCATCCTAGTGATGTGTCTGTCCACACTATTATTTCCCCTTGGAAGACTGTTTTTGATGCTGCAAGCTGGGAGCAGCTTATGCGTCGTTACATAGTTCCTAAATTACAGCTGGCTTTGCAAGAGTTCCAGATAAACCCAGCAGACCAGAATTTAGACCAGTTCAATTTGGTTATGGGGTGGGTATCTTCAGTACCCATACATCTAATGACTGATCTGATGGAGAGATTCTTTTTCCCCAAGTGGCTGGATGTTTTATATCAGTGGTTGTGTTCAGAACCAAAGTTCGATGAGATAATGAAGTGGTTTTTGGGCTGGAAAGGATCATTCCCACAGGAGCTTTCTGCAAACAGGAGGATCGAAATCCAGTTCAAGCGTGGTCTAGATATGGCGAGGGAAGCAGTTGAACGGATGGAAATGTCTCAGCCAGGGGCAAGGGAGAACATAAGTTACCATAAGGCACAAGAGCAGAGGCAACCTGAGGGTCGTGCTAAGGTTCAGGCTCAGGTGGATGACCCCGAGGAACTGAGTTTTAAAGAAGCAGTAGAATTATTTGCGCAGGAGAAGGAGTTGCTGTTGAAACCTAAACCTCATAGAATGCACAACGGTCTTCAGATCTATAGGTTCGGGAACGTGAGCGTGTTACTAGACTCAGCAAATTCTAAGTTGTTGGCCCAGGAAGCAGGAGGTTGGTTTCCTGTTGATCTTGACAGCTTGCTTAAGATGCACTATAGTGCTGTTGCTGGAAAACAATGAAACATTACCCCTAAGAAGGAAGTCAGAAGGTAATTTTGCTTCCGACTTCTCTATTTCCCCTCTGTGTTTTGCTTTGTAGAAAATGTGTACTGTTTGGTGAGCGTTCTCTAGGATTGTCAAGAAGATAATAGAGTTCTATTTCGTCCATTGTTTAATCGTATAATTAGTATCCTAATTTCAGGAACATTAGCAGAAGAAGCTGTGTTTTGGAACATCATGAAGGTTTGAATATGAACACTTACTGGTATAAGCAGGAGAATTCATGGGTTTTGAATATTACCAACATATTTGCTATCATAATTCGGTATTGACAGTTAAAAAGAAAATTCACCTTTTTTCGTTGCAGGCATCTGAGTTTGTGTGTACCTTTGGCTTGACCAGTCACTTGTGTAACGACTTACAAGATTGATGAAGTTGTTTTCTTTGTTAGACAGTGCATATTCGCAATTCTTGTTTTTCAGGTTACCGAGCAGATCATTGATGGAGGTTATAAAGGTTTATCCTTTGGATGCTGTGTTGGAAAAATCCTGATGATGTGCCTCAAGATTTAAGTATAGAGAGTTTATAGCTCTCTCATCACGGAGAAGAGTTGATAGTTGAATAACGTTTCATTTTCCTACTAGATGACAAATTTTCAACTTTGAAAAAAGCTGAAGAAGTGTGGTTTTCTTAATGATCTCTAATAATCTGTTTTGTGCTTTTTGTTTCTTGTTTCAGGAAGAATGGATAAATCATAAATGTTTTGGAAGCATCGACATTTCCCTGCAGATGGGTCTGAGTTAGAGAAGTCAATATGTTTCAACTTTTAGAGAATAAAACTCTTGTTTCTTTCAACTGTTTTACCTGTTTTTTCTAGTGGTTGCATCTGAGCAAACCTTGTGGATATATATTGAGCTTTACTATTTTGTTTCCCTGCACTGGCATGTTACAATGTCTCTTGTATCTCTCGTTCTTTATCTATAAATAAACAATATAAGTTGGTCGAATTTAACATCTTCAAGCCCATGATTGAGATTGTAAAGAGCTCTACACATGTCTAGGACCATTGACAATCCAACTCCTCTGTTGCCTTTAAGATTTCATCTTTCGAGAAGCTTTAATTTGAGTTTTAATGAGTTTTTTAGATGAATGAAGCAGTCAACGTTTTTTATAAGTCAACTTTGGAGTCTTTTTTAGCAACTATCCATAATTTCTTTGAAAGTTATAGTTAGTTTCTCAGTCAGGTCTCTGTCTCTACGCCTGTTTGAAGTTTTCTAAGAAAATGGTCAACAAAAGGAGCAAGACTTCTTAATTAACTATATGTCCTTTCTCCCCAAATGCTTCAGAGCCCTAAGAAGAGAGTGGTTTCAACTGAACCATCCTCATGTTTTCACTAAAGCAAGTCATGAACTTGTAAAAGATTATTATTTTTACTCTCAGCCGTGAATGATCAATTACTTCATCTCAGTGTTGAGATGGGTTGGTGGAGAAAGAAGAAGTCCGAAAACCCCGATGAAAAGCAGAGGTTGGTCCATGAGAACGGCAAGGTGCTGCTAGAAAAGCTCATCCAATATTGCAATGGAAAATCCAATCCAATCAAAACCTTCTCTGCTTCTCAGATCCTTAGAGCAACCGACAACTTCAGTCCAAATAATGCTCTTTTTCGCAGCCGGTCTAGTAGCTACCATGGCTATAGAGGTATGCTCGAAGACCGCCTTGTGCTTGTCAAGAAATGGGTAGCAGAGTTTAGTTCCCGCAGTGGAAAGACTTGTTGTGACATAGCAATATCATCAATGGTTAGTGGTCACAAGAATTTCCTCAAGCTGTTAGGATGCTGTCTTGAGTTTCCTTATCCAGTTCTAGTCTATGAATATGCAGACCAAAAAATGGGCCACGATATCTATTTGATCTGAAGTTACCATGGAATATGAGAATGAAGATTGCAAAGGAGGTCGCAGACGCTTTAACATACCTTCACACTGAATTCTCAAAAAGTATCATCCACAAAGATATGATACCGTGTAAGATCTTCTTGGATGAGAAAGGGACAGCGAAGCTTAGTGAGTTCGACAACTCTGTTTTAATTCCAGAAGGAGAAAAGTTTGTTGAAGATCTTGTAGAGGGAACTGTTGGGTACCTTGATCACAACTATATGTACTCGGGAAGAGTAACAGAAAACACTGATGTCTATGGCTTTGGAGCATTCATGCTTACTCTTATAACCGCAATGAACCCGAGTCTTGTTGACAAACTATACAAGGATTCTCCTATCAAGTTGGTTGAAGATGGCAGATTTGTTGAGATTATTGATCCATCATTGGTGGAAAGCTGCAAGGAACAAGAGCTATTGCAAATGAAAGCTTTCCTTATACTTTCACTGAGATGCATTGGCTATGTAGGAGAAGTTCCGAAAATTATCGAAGTTGCCAAAGAACTTAAAAGGATGCTTGTTCAAGCCAAAACCAAATCGCCTTTGGCCAAGTAAGCTTTTCTTTATACATCAAACATAAAAAATAAGCATATAACAGTTTCATCTTTCACATAGATTTGGATCTCCCAAACCGTTCTTGAAAATCTTACAATAAGTTTCTTCATAAAGATTTAACTTTAAGGCTGAGTAAAAGTTTCTTTCCTTTTTTTTTCACATCTTGTCTTTATATTCTAGTGATCGCTCTATCAGCTTAATCTCTTTCGCCACTTCGATCATCTTCGGTCTCTCTTCTTTCCTCCTCCCACAGCATCTCAACGCAAGCTCGAGATATGCATACATCGATTTTTTACTGAACTCATCCCAAAGTTCAAAGAACTCTCTTTTATCCTCTAAACCTTTCACATAATCATGAATATTATCATGAGATTCAGGCAAAATAGCAGGTCTCCCACTCAGAAGAACCAACAAAAAGATTCCAAAGCTGAACACATCAGTGTACTCTGTCACTATACTCGTAGAGAAATAAGTCGGATCAATGTATCCAGGTGTTCCCATCACCTTATCTTTAATCCATGACTTACCTTCAGGGAGAGATATAGAGAAGGAGAAATCAGACAGCTTGGCTGTCCAGTTCTTGTCCAAGAACACATTCGTCGGTTTTATTTCTCTGTCTATAATGATACGTGGAAACGCCGTGTGAAGATAAGTCACAGCATTAGCAACCTCCTTTGTGATCTTTAATCTAACATTCCAAGGCAACACTTGTCTGTTCTCACTACCAACACCTCCTTTCTCGTTCATAGCACCATTTTCCGCATATTCGAACACGAGAATCGGAAGAGGAAACTCGAGGCAACATCCTAATAGCTTGAGAAAACTATTGTGATTGCTGACTCGAGCAGATATCACAATATCATTGTAAACCACTGATTCATAGTCTCCTAATATATATTCTTCTTTAAATCTCTTGATCAGGTAACACCTATCTTGGATTACTCCCTTGTGCCAAGCAAAGAATCTATATATGAAGACATATACAACCACATGGATCAAAGTTGTTTGTGGCCCTGAGGATTTGATCAGAGGAGAATATGCAGATTGGATTTGATGTACCGTTACAGTCAGCGATCAGTTCCTTAAGAAAAGTGCTTCCATTTTTGATAAACCACTCGACCCTTTTATCTTTGTCCTTCGTTCTCCACAACCTCATCATCTTTGTTAAAGTAAAAACTTATATTACAAGAGAAAAAGAGGGTATAGAGCAATTCAGAGAAAGTGATACCAAGAAAATTTCAAAAGCAAAAAAAGAAAGGCATTAAATAAGTTTGGTGAGATGGAAAATTGTTGGCTAATGAGGAATCAACAAGTATTAGGTAATGGTGATTGTTGGAACATGTAGAGCCATAAAATCATATACTTCAGATAAGTAAAGTCAACAATATTGTAAAAAGATAAGCTTTGGATCTCCTAATAGTATATTTCATGTACCTAGTTACTCCTTATATATGACATTTGTGTTGTTGTTTTTTTGGTATCTTTTGCATTTTCTCAATGTACACGACCGCTATATACTTTATAGTAATCATTGATTCCTTCTACTATATAGTAATCATTGATTCCTTTCTAATTCATTGGTAATATCATCATCGTGTCCACAGCAACCAATATTTGTGACTAAAAAATTAAAATTGTGATTATCATGTCATTACTTCCATCTTCCATCATAGATATCTCTCTCCTACATCATCATGCATTTTTATGTTACGTGAATTGTTCAATGTTTTTGATGGCTTATAAAAATAAATTAAAATCTGTATTCAACAGTCAAATCTGATCAAAATCATGAAGCCCATTTTTAGATTAGCTTCTTTATGATACCTGAAAACAGAGTATCTATATAATAGAAGCATTACTTGTATAGGCAAATTCTCTTTGCAATAGCCATAGATTCATAGCAACTCCCACACTAGTTACAGCTATACTTGGTTCCAATCATCATTCCACTAAACCCACACTTCTCGAAGAAGCTTGTATCTTGCATTCGAAGTCGCTGAACTAGTACAGTCACTCCCTTTGTCGACGATGGACGTAAGAGGAGAGTCCAGTTCCTCAAGCTCCTCATCGCTCGTGTACCCTTTTTCTCTGTATCATAGACACATTCCTTGACAATTTTCCTGCAGCCTCTGCAACTTTTTCTGCTACATCCATGGTCGATGGAGGCATGTAAGTAATTAACAGAGGAAGCTGCATAAGGGAAGCAGAGTTAGATGAAAAGAGTAAACTTGTAAACCCATCAACAGGTATGAATACACGGACCGCTATGGCAATTCCTAGAATGCTTACAATGCACATAACAGGAATGACGCATTTGTCATAGAATGGCAAAGATTATAGACTATGGCTCTCTATGGAAGTAACAATATTAATCAAAATTTAAAACTGTTTGTGGTGAGGAAAGATATGTCTAACTAACTAACCTGTGTGAAATCAGAATTAACGAGGTACGAAGGAAACTGTCCACCGGTGATCATCAATACATTGGTGCTCACAAGCCCACCTCTCACTTCTGAGTTCTGAAGGGGATGCTTCAAGAGACGACCCGATATTAAGACATAAGGATCAGGGGCAGCAGCCATAACGATTGCTCCAGCTGCAAAGACAACATCAGCAAACAAAGTTGCTTTTTTACGACCGTAGTAGTCATTGATCCAACCTCCTGCTGCAGCACCGATCATGGCACCAACTAAAGCCATACTTACAAATTACAATGGTTTCCTACAAGATAACATTCTTCATGGATCATTAACTACTAACACTGAAAGTTACCACCTTGGAAGAGGTAAAGTAAGAAATATTATTTACCTGTAAGAAACTGCTCTGTTTAACGACTTTAAACTAGGGAAAAAATTGGATTCAGGAATGCGCCGTGTTAAATGTGGCAGCACAAACGAAGACGTGAAAAAAAAAAAAAGGAAACGTTTTCTACTCGCTTTCTCAACCTCTGTTTTTGTTTATTCACATTTCATCTTTACCGTTGGTTTTTCACGTGTAAATAAGACAGATGATTATGCGTAGGCGCGTGTGTCCACGCTCTCCTAGAACACTCTATCTATAGGCACAACTACCCACACTTCCAAAATTAGCATGTGTTGATGAATGTTATTAACCATTTTGGATTAAAAGTTTACGAGTTAAACCTTGATTTTGTTTTTGATAAAGAGAGTAAACCTTGATTTACAAGAGTGACTATTGATTTACTACCTATCAGCTTAGAGACCCCGAAAATTACGTATGAAATGATGCAAAGTACATACTTATAACCAATTGCACAAAAAATGTAATAATTTTTTTTCCTATATAATAGGAAATTTAATTATACAAATATTTTTTCATTCAAAAAAAATTATCCAAATATTTCATGGATAATAGTAACTTATAACAATGAAGTAAACAAGTCCGTTTAAAGCTAGAGAATTTGTTGATTCATGGCCATGTAATCTAGCTACGCGCAGATTTGTTTTACTATATATATTTATTTTGTTTGTTTTTTAAAAACTGTTTATCACTAACCGCTTCTAACTAATTTTTCTTTTATTTTAACATTTGAATTTACTTTCGTAGCTAGAAGAAAAAGAAAATGGGCTTCTATTTCAACTTTAGGCTCTACTTGACTTCTTACATATTAGGCCTTATAAGCTTAGCCTTAGATACTTTCCCTTTGTAAAGGGCTAGTGTTTAGTTTTATCCACATCGGAACGATAAGCATTCTAATACTAATCTATAGTGCTTACTTCTGTAAATCTCGCTTCGTGCAAGCCTCCCTATACCCATCCCCTAATTTATCTCAAAATTTTTACTCGAGATTCTGATTTTATCTTCGATTTTGTCGTCTTTGTATGGTCGAAAAGTGTTACTGACTTTTACCAAAATAAGCAATGTTTTTAAAACCGGACCGAAAACCAAACCAGATAACTATTTGGGTCACAGTTTAATATTGTCTTACCGAGTCGAATCTCGTTCGAAAAATTTATATTTTTTAATTTATAAATATATAAATATAAAAATAAATATAGTAAATATTATCATAATTGTAATTTATTATATTTTTTGATATGAAAATAAAAATCTATAATTTATTGCTTTTAATTAACTTTTATAGTATAAAACATACTTAATTAGTTTTAAAAGTGAAAATTTTAAAGAAAATAATGTAAATATATTTTAAATTTTAGGATATTTATTAAATCGAGGCCAACCGGTTCAATTGGTTCATCCGATTCATAGGTTTTTGATGGTTTTTAGTTGGTTTAATAGCTTTTGGGTTTGATTAAAACCCAACCCGGCCACATTTCCAGTTCGAGTTCATGGTTGAACCCGGTCCGACCACCGGGGTGGTCCGATTTTAAAAACACTGAAAATAAGCGAATTTTACTGTATGTAAGGATTGAGCCATTAAATGTTGATGTAAGGATTGTGATCTCAATCTTGTACCAATCAATTCAATGATTCATGATTCAGAGAAACGCATAAGGTAAGCGATTTAACGATATATAGAAAAAGAAAAAATTGACTTCTATTTCAACTTTGGGCTCTACATACATAATAGGCCCATATAAGCTTAATTACTTTCCCTTTGATCTTCGGCCCCCTCCCACCTTTCGGTGAAATATTTGTAAAGGGCTTGTCTTTGATTTTGTCCCACATCGGGACCTTAAGAATCCTGATACCGATCTACGCTACTATAAGATAGTGATGGGCATCTTCTGTAAAAACTTGCCTTAAACTAATGAGTAAGGAAAACAAAGCGTCCGGTGAGAATCGGTCGCGCTGACGTAAAACATCTAATTTTTGGAGGGGTTATAGGCTGGCCGAAGCGTTGACGCTGTTTGCTTTTGCAGAACTGCTTCGTGCGGGCCTCCCTATACCCATCCCCCAAATTTTCCCTAGTTCCCAAATATTTTACTTGAGTTTCTGATTTTATCTTCGAAAAGTGTTACAATTCGTTTAGGTTAAAATTATCATTGTGTCTTCTCAATTGAGATTTGATCATTTTGATTGTATCTTTGTTCTGGTAAGATTTGCAATTTTCGTCCTTCAAATTGGTATTTTTTCAGACACATGACAAAAATTCGTTTTCTTGTTCAATTTCTCAACGATTTTGCAGTGATTTTTCGTGTGAAAAAATGGAAGAAGAAGCTCATTTAGCGAATAGTTCGAGAAGGATTTTAAGATTGAATCAAGAATTTAGTTTCCGGGATGCAGACAGTTGTGAAATACGTGGACCAAAACCTTGTGAGGTTTATGGTTTTGTAGGAACCATTTCGATTCTTGTTGCCAGTTGCCACTATGATCTTCTTGTTATAGGGGTATGTACCATATAAGTTCTTGGAGTCTACATGCATTTATTACTACCCAAGCAAGTACTGGGCAATGGCTATGCCTGTGTTATTTTGTTTAGGAAGATTCCTATAGATTCTGTGGTTGATCTTTGGCCTTCTCACCTCACCTATATCCCCAGTTTTGTCTCCACTCCTTTCGTTCAAAGAGAGAAGAACAAATATTACAAGATTAGTTTTGCTATGTGTTTCAGCTTCTTTCTTGTTTTGTTTTTATAGCTGACAAAAATAAGTTATTCAGATTTTATTCCTAAATGCGTGTCATTCCTAGCCCACTGCGTGCGTCCCGAAGGCGGCAATAGTAGTTCCTGGAGGCCGCATAGCCCAATTTTAAATTGTCTGCGGTGGCCACTTAAGGTGTTTGCAGCCGTGGGGATGCGTGAATACTATCAGAAGATCCAGGCAAAATAGCAGGTCTCCCACTTAGAAGAACCAACAAAAAGATTCCAAAGCTGAAGACATCAGTGTACTCTGTCACTATACCCGTAGCTAGATAAGATGGATCAATGTATCCAAGTGTTCCCATCACCTTATCTTTAATCCATGACTTACCTTCAGGGAGAGATATAGAAAAGGATAAATCAGACAGCTTGGCTTTTCAGTTCTTGTCCAAGAACACATTCGTCGGTTTTATTTCTCTGTGTATAATGATCCGTGGAAACGCCATGTGAAGATAAGTCACAGCATTAGCAACTTCCTTTGTAATCTTTAATCTAACGTTCCATTGCAATAGTTGTATGTTCTCATTACCAACACCTTCTTGATCGTTCATAGCACCATTTTCCGCATATTCGAACACCAGAATTGGAAGAGGAAACTCAAGACAACTTCCTAATAGCTTGAGAAAACTATTGTGGTTGCTGACTCGAGCAGATATCACAATGTCATTGTAAACCACTGATTCATAGACTCCTAATATATATTCTTCTTTAAATCTCTTGATCAGGTAACACCTTTCTTGGATTATTCCCTTGTGCCAAGAAAAGAATCTGTGACGAGACATGTAACCACTTGGATCAAAGTAGTTTGTGGCCTTGAGGATTTGATCAGAATAGAATATGCAGATAGGATTTGATGTACCGTTGCAGTCAGAGATCAGTTCCTTAAAGAAAAGTGCTTTCATTCATCATAAAACTCTTAGACCCTTTTATCTTTGTCATTTGTTCTCCACAACCTCATCATCTTTGTGAAGTAAAAACTTCATTACAAGAAAAAGAAAGTATAGACTATACCAAGAATTTTTCAAAGCAAAAAAATAAAAGCATTAGTAAATAAGTTAGATGAGATGGAAAAATTGTTTACTAATGGATTCAGTTTTAACACTTCTTAAATCTCTTTCTAATGTGCATAACTTTTTTATTCACCTTCTATTGAATAAAATTATTTCTGTAAATTATTTCTAAAAGCTTAGACTCTATGTAAATTATTTTTGTATCTATTTCTTTAGTATTTTTAATCTACACATCTCAATGAAATTTGAAAAGTGTTCTTTTTTTTTTAATCAGTTGATAAAAACGCACATGTTATATCTTATACATTTTTTGATACATTAGAATAAAATCTCAATTTGTCTTTACAAAATTTTATAGTAGAAATTACGAATAAATATAGACCGTATTTCTTTAATCGTTTAGGGCCTCGAAAACAGTAGGAACGGCTCTGCATTTTTAATCATACCAAAGCATTATCGAGATTTTTAATTAAGCAATAAAACTAAGCCAAACTTGACATCTACAATACATGCTTAAGACTATGTTGATACATGACCATTGTCAATCAATTCGAGTGTTAATAAAACTATCTAAATACTAGGACTATCTTCGCAACATTTATGTGCGAGCTATGTTCGATGATCTAGATGATATGGAAGGAATGCTGTCTACGATGAAAAATAATCTGAATTTGACAGAGCCTCATTATGCGCAAATAAAGAGGAAGTATTTAAGGGTTGAAAACATTATAGAAGTTCCACCACCGAGTGCTGCAATCTTTCAGCCAGCTGCAGTTCTTCAGCCAGCTGCACCAGATTTTCGCCAGCAAAGTAAACTATAATTAGTATTATTCCGAATTTTTTTCTTTCTAAATTTTGAATTTAATTTTGATTTACTAAAATATACTTTAAATTTAAATCTTGAAAATTTTGTCATTTTACATATAAAAGAATGTAGTTTACATTTGATATAGAAAAAGATATTTTTCAAAGTATAACTCAAAAACATAGTAGTTTTTCAAAATGACCTTTATTCCTTTTTTCGAAATATATGATGTTTTAGGGATTTTAATCTGTTTCAAAATATAAGATGTTTTACAAGTTTAATGCAAATTGTAAATGTATTTGATATTTTGTGACTATTTATTTTCTATAGTCTTTTTTGTAATTGGTTGATTTTTAAAAATTAAATATTAAATGATGATTTAAAAGAAAATAAATAAATTCTTAAACTATGTGTTTTTAACTACAACATCACATATTTTGAAACATAGGGAGTAGATGTTTTGTATCACTGGTTTGTTGTGTTCACTGTTCAAATAAGGAAGTGGTTTCTGGATTGAAGCCTTTAAAAGCTCAATCTGTTTCCATGTATGTTGACGTTTTTGGTTGATGCCTAATAAAAAATCAAACATGTTTCATCAAACAAATCTGATCAAAATCATGAATACATATTTAAGTATCTTCTTTATGA